TTTTTTTTTCCAGGTGTCTTCTTTTAAAATTCTGATAGTAGTTCAGCTGTAATTCTCGTCCGAATATGTCGAATAATTTGTAATGAGTATGTAAATAGTTATTATAGGTGCGATATTGGATTGTCTGTCAAAAGATGCTATATTTGTATGTGTACACATAGGAGTTCTGGTGAACGTCTTTTTTTTTTCCTTCTTCTCTTGTCTTGCTTTTTATTTCTATGTATCATTCATCTCATCGTCTTGTATATATCCAGGACAATTGTTTTCTTTGTTCCAGGAATCATTGATATTCTCTTGTTCTAATCTTTATCTTCTATTGCATAATCGGAAAAGAAGTTGCATGACAGTATCTTTGTTTGATATTAATCTAATTTCAAGCTGAAAGGAATATCACAAGTTGTCATTCGTCTTCTCTTTATTTTCTTTCTATCTCTCCTCTCAATGTGTTTCTTTGCTTCGCTTCTTTTTTGTTTGTGTGGGATTGACTCTTGGAATGATGTATAAAAAGAAAAAGATTTTCCAAAATAAATTGCTTAAGTTAATTCGGAAATAAATACGTATTGATCTGGCTCTATTGCTGGAGAAGGACTTGTGTAACAATGTCAATGATTGTTTTTTATTCAGCCTTCAATGATCCAGAAACGAGTTGCACCATTTTGCCTTTTTGGTTAATTGCTGATCGTGTCAATTCCAGGTTCTGTTTACTGGGCTTCCATGATTTATTATAAAGAGAAGATTCAAAGCTCAGTATTTTAAAGGTAACTCTGATTTTTCACTTCATCATCCGGATCACAATTCTCTATCATGCAAAAGACAATCCAATTTTGCATCTAACCTAATCATTTAGACATTTTACAAAAGTCATTATGCGAAGCAGGGCATGAATTATCATCAAAAAACGATAGTAAAACTGCTGATGCTATCCATGAATAACTATATTAAGGGTAACCTTGGCTATCATTAGGATTAAATTGAATATTGATTAAAAGATCGCATCGAATTCTGTGTGCTATGAACGTTTTATCATTTGATACAATTCTTAGAACGAATATTTGGTTACAGCTTGTGTCCAAATCCGTTGTTCAACTGGTCATTGGCAAGGTAGACATCTATCTTGTAGATGAACAAAGTTGAATTTGACGTCACTCGATAAATCTCATCGAGTTTTATTTAGTACAGTTCTTAGAACAAATATTTGGCGAAAATATTGCATTTTTCACTAAAAACAATGTTTAAAAAGTAGTTTTTTGAATTTTTCAACAATTTTCTTCAATAGGAATTTTTTGAAAGTTATGTATTCTATAATATATTTAGCGCTCTATCTGACACACGCCTTTAGGCGAATATTTTTCCAATAAAATGCTAATCAGCTACTAATTTTACCTACGTGAATTGAATGAAAAAAATGGTTCCAAATGATCAACATAAAAGAGATTCTTCTTAATAAATAAAATAAACGATATAAATAAAAGATTTGTTTCAAAACAAGAAATGACTAAGAATTTCGTTCAAAAAGAAATATGTAATTTTCTAATTCTATTGAAATTTTATTTTTGTTTTTGTATATTCGTATGAAAATATTATAAAATAAATAGCTACTAATATATCTGATTATTTTCAAAGTAGAAACAAAACGAATATTGATAAACAATAACTTATTACTAATAGAAGACATAAGCTGAAAAATGCAAATATACAAGTTAATATTATGAAAGAAAACATTCATATAATTTGCTTGTGAAGTCGGTCATAATGACCATAAATCTTACCATATGATTTGATGTTAACATAAGTATTTCGAGACCTAGGTCAAAAGAATTCCTATGACCTAAATATAATCAAACTATTCGCCGTCTACTTTTAATATAGCATACAACTGAAGGCTAATAATAGATATCTAATCATAAACGCTAACAACTGTAGCGTTTGTTATCAACTAACTCTGTCTAACGACAATTATCATTAAGTTCTTATCAGGAAAAGCAACAACAAATGGTGTCACTCATATATTGACAGGTATCATTATAAGAACTCATTAGTAGATTATGAATGTTACTGATAACTAAGAAGAAAATTAAAATATTTAATTACAATTTGTTAACTTTCTTTTCTGAAATTTTCAGTGATTAAATAATAATATAAAATAATAATTGCACGAATGTCTGACATTTCTCAACTAAATATATAATCTTATTACTAAAATATACTTTATATGAAAGTCAAAAAAAAAAATAAATTCTTAATATAAGACACTATATCTGTGCATAATGTTTCCTATTGTATTAATCAAGTGTAATATGAATACTTTTAGTCTTAATGGAATTGATAAATGCTTTTAAGATATATATATATAATATCTTACTTATATGACACATGACGCTTGTCTTTTTTTGTCAATAATTACATTATCGCATTTTTTCTAAAGGTTATTAAATGAAAATAAATCATAGAAAATAAATATTTCTTATTATTATTTAAAAAAAATCTGTTTTCTACTAATTAATTAGAAAATAAATTTATTATTCAAATATAATTTATTACTTCATTGATTCTAATAAAATAAAATAAAATATAAACAAATACAGACTATTTTCTTCTAGACTCAATATAATTTCATTAGTCTTATCTATAGTTGTCTATTTCCTAGTTTCCAGTAACTGACATCCAGGGTATGTATTCTCATGAAGATAACAATATAATAGTTCTAATAGGAAACATATTTTAGACAAATAATCAAGAATATACTAACAGAATTTCTATAGTGTAATAGAGTACACATTCTCTACTACAAGAAAAAACTAAAAATAATCAAAAGATATATATATATATATATAAATTTATCCGTCTTATTGACTATATTCTTATTTAATTTACAAATATAAACAACATTCTAGTTTGATTCATTATCAATCGATAATAATATTTTTAATGTTAAGAAACTTCAAATAATGGATTATTATTATTATTCGATGCTAAATATAAAACAAAGAATATAGTCTAAAAATTGAAACTTCTAACATTTCTATATTATACAATTATATTTCGATGAAACCAGGGTTTATTTCATTTGATTATTAGACATCTGTCTGTCAAAAGTGAAGGTTTCTTTTTTTGTACATCTATTGACATGTTTGTCTATTCTACTAACAACAACATATCCTATTTATATAGATTTTTTTCTTAAGTCTAATTATATGTACACTATCCTTCATTTTTTACCCATAAGATATAATCAAAATTGTGTAAATATTGCAGTTAAACATTTATTCTTTAAAAAGTCAAATATATATATATAGATATGTTCAATTTAAACAAATAAATTATATAATGAAATTGATTAATTCTAAAAATTGATCTTATTCTTTTCATTAGAAATTATCCTTAATTAAAACTATAATCACAATATTTAATACAAATATTCATTTTATCCACATAAAACAAGATTAAAAAAAAAGAAAGAAAAAAAAAACGAAATGGGCTGGAAAGATTTCGCAAGAACACAATAAAGAAAAATGACAATACTAAAAAGTTTTGTTGTTTTTTAGACAAAAATGAAGATAAAACAAGAAAACAAACATTGATTCTATATAAATCCAATTAAAAAAAAACAAAAGGACAAACAGAAAACAAAACAAATATACACTGAATTGATCGCTATCTGTATTAATAATATTAATAAAAAAAAAACAAAAAATTATGTATGACCAAACATCGTTCTTGAATAAATACGATTACAATGAATACATAAAACATGATCATCTATTGGATAACATCCTTCTTCATTTGTAAATTGTATTTTACAATTCTAAAAAAAAAAGAATTTCCTTTTTTTTATTCTCTTAAATTTTAATATTTACTTCACATCGATAACAATCAATATGATAACTTCGATCAAGTGCAACAATACGTATAGTTTCATCTTGACCATTTATTGGTAATATAGGTCGATGACATACATAGCAACGTGGTGCAAACTTTTGATGAAAGCAATCAATACAATGTACTTCCATTAGTGCATCAATTGTAAATGGTACACCATCAAGACTTTTATGGCAAACAATACAACAAAAACATTCAGCATGATAAGGTTTACCCGTTGCACGGAGAATCTATTAATAGAAAGAAAAAAAAAAAACAACGAAATTACAATACTGGACAAAAATATAAGAATAACATATTTTTTGATTTTGTTTTGCTACGATATCAAGCATTTAACTCAAATCTAAATAGTGATTTAAATAGTTCATGAAATTCTCTACCAAATACATTTCATTGATGTCTCAGAAGACTTTGTGAAAATTGGTTTTGAAGTGTATTGTCTTAAAGAGTACAAAATTCTCAGTAAAATAAGAGGTTGTTGCATTTCCTACAACCTTCCTTTATAAAATTATTAGCATCACAAAAATAACAATGCAATTTTTAGCAATGCTATGATAAATTTTGCTTTGTGATGCGTATAACTTTTTAAGAAAAGGTCGCAGGAAATACGACAATTCCTCATTTTATTCAGAATTTTGTACTCTTTAAGATAGTACTCTTCAAAACTAATTTTTACAAAGTCTTCTAGGACATCAATGAAATGCATTTGATAGAGAATTTCATGAACTATTCAAATCACTATATGGATTTGAGTTAAATATTTAATATTGTAGAAAGATAAACAAAAATGCGTTGCTCTGATATTTATATCAGTGTACTGTAAGTTCAACAAGAGTCATAATAATTCTTAACAAAGCAGAATAAATGATCGCTAAATACCACAAGAAAAACGATGACCTATACATATTTATTATACAATTGATAATTATGAATTACAGTCATATTACGTCTTTATTGACAATAATTACTTTGTTTTATAATCATTTCTTATAGGTTTCGACGTCTGGATTTATACTGTTTCTCTCTTTTTTTTTGTTTTTATTGATTCTATAATTTGTCTTTTCTTTTATACGAAATGATTTACAAGATTTCTTTTTTTTTTTTGTATTTAACTTACTCTATCAGTAATTGGTCTTGCACAGACAACACATTTTTCTAATGAATTCTAAAAGAAAATAAATTTTTTTTTTTTTTTTATCAATAATTAAATATTAACTTACAATATAACATGATTCACAATATGGCTTATTTTCCATTGAATAAAAATGCATACCACGTAAACGACAACCACACATAGTACATGTAAAACATGATACATGATACATTCTATCCATAGCTACAATTCCATTTTCTTCGCCAACAATTTCATCATTACATCTTGCACACATACCTTTACAATGAGAAAAAATTATGATATTCGAATAAATTCAAAAACAAAAAAAAAATTTTTAACTTACCAAAAAAATTCGGTTCATTAGATGAATTCATACTTTTCATTAATAATTTTGTTAAATGATCAACATCGGTTGTATCTCGTTTCATTATATTTCCATTACGCATAGTAAATGATGTTGAATTTGAATGTGAAGATGTTGGTGGAAGATTTACAATAGATGGTGATCGACGTTCTGAATTATCAAATACTGGAGATTTATTACTATTCACACTTGTATAAGCCATTAATGGTTTAAAACGATTAGCAACTACATTTGATGTATATCGATTATCAATAGGTGAATCATGATGCATATCAATCTGACGAATTGACTAAAAAAACAAAGAAATTTTCTTATATTTTATATTATTAATTATTTATTTTGTTTTTTGTACCGGTGATGTTCGTCCAAGCATATGAATTGATGATAAAGGAGATGGTACAGATACTTCTCTTTGATTTGTAGTTGTTGATGGTGTACCAAGTGAAATATGAAAAGCATTATCATTTCCATTAGAATAATTAATTGATTGATTTTTAATTCCTTGACGATTATTGATTAATATTGATGGTGAATCAGGTCGTGATATACGAATTTCTTTAAAAGTTGATTTTGTTGGATTAGGTGATGATGAAAAACGAATTTCAGATCGACTTGGTGAATTTCTAGGTGCAATTGTTATAACTGGTGATTGAGATGAACTAACACTGATTACAGCTTTACAAAAATAAGAAAAAAAAAAGATACAATATAAAAATTAAATCTAATCATTTTATTTTGATTAAAATTACACTTACGACGATTATTATTATAATTATTACTTGTTGGTGTTGTTGATCGATATTGTGAAGTCTTTGTAATTGTTGGTGATGACGGTTCATGGTCAGATATATACGAATTTGAGAGTGAAGAACCTAAATAAACAATTGAGAAAGAAATTGATTGATCTTCTTTCATATATATATATATGTATATATATATATATTTATACATATAAAGATAGGTTTTTTTTCACATTATTAGACAAGCAAAACTAACACTTGATTGCTCATTTAGAAACAATAAAAAAGGAACCTTGATCGCTTCATCGAGGTATATCTTCAATATACAATCTTTTCTATTCCTTGCGATGATTGGCTACGTTAACAAGAATCGTTCTTTATGTTGTCAACTAAAAGATCGTTATATATGTATATGTAATAATACTCAGAACGTGCCAACATGTCTATAACCTTCGATTTATCATCCAATCTTTGATAAGAAACCACTATATATAGTTAGTTTTTTTTTTAACTGGAAATAAAAAGGGAGATGGATAAAACAGAATACAAACATATAGTGCACATTCAAATGTAGTCACCACAAAACATGCAGAAGGCAAAAAGAAAAAATAATAAAGTCCTACGAGAATTATAATGATGATTGAAACTATAAAAAAAACATTAATAAGAAAAGAATTGTTTAAGAATTTAATTGATTGTTGTTATTTTTTTAAATTTTTACCTGAATCTGATCGACCGATAGTCGTTTGAATAAATGGATTTTTAACAGGTATAAATTGATAAGTATTATTGATAATTGGTGGTGTAGAAAAACCACTTGGTGGAGGTGGAAATTCAATTGAAAGTGATTCATCTGATGATATAGATTCATCACCACCACCATCATCATAATAATTATTCCCGTTTACTAAAATAAGAAAATCAACCACACATATTTTCATGCGTCATGCTTGAACAAATCATATAACAAATGAAAAATTCAATGAATAAATCAATAAATAACATGCACAACTATTTATTTGTTTATGTTGATTTCTTTTAATTTTGCTTACCGTTTGTTTGATTAAATGAAAAACGTCGTTGAAGTGGATTTTGACGAGATTGTTGATAATCATTTTGTTGACGATAATTATTTGTATAATCAAATGGATCAGGAGTTATTTGTGAACGATAAAATGGTTTTGGTCCAACTATACGAGTTGCTATTGATGATGGACTTGGTGATTGACGATTTATATTCATAGGCGAATTTAAAGTACTATTTTGTCGATTGAAATATTGTGCTTGATTTTGAACAAATTTATTAGTTTTTGATGATAATGGCGACGAAGACATCGATATTTATATATATATATATATATATGTATATCCAGAAGAATAGAATATGCGTATGTATGTATGTATGTATGTGTGTAACAACAACGACAATCAGAATCCGCCTATGCACAAAAAAAGATGGTCTGAAAGAAATAAGAAGAAACGACAAAGACAAGAAGAAAGAGCAAGAGAGAAAACAAATAAAGCTGTGTCATCAGCATCGGTGGTAGATATAGACAGAACAAGAAAGTGCTAGGATATGTTTTCCGTTCTAACCAGATGATGATGCTATATCAGATGTTCATTTATATGAGATCTTTTTTTTTCTCCTCATTTCTAAGCATAAGTCAAAACATACGAGACAAACAGTCAATCAGAATACCTGCGGTGCATCCTTTGAAAAGTCTCGATATATCAGCTAACTTTTTCTCTAAATGTCGTCGATATAAAATATTGTCATTTTATATGTATTTTCTTTACATAGAAAGAGCGAACTCTTCGGATTAATATGTTTACAGAAAGAAATAAATAAACATTCGAGATCATGCTTGAAAATTTTCTCCTCATGAAACTCATTAAATGATCAAATAATAACAGATGATTATTAAAAATAATGAACAAAGAGTAATAAATTTCATCATATATATATGTACATATCGATCAGTTATTATTAAATCTACAATCAATTGTCGTCTAATAATTCTTGGTAACTGTCATATATTAATCGAATTTTTATCTAAAATAAAATAGAAAAAAAAATTATTTTTTTTTTTTGAAATGGACTAAATTATTGTACCATCAATATCAATCAATCGTATGATTTATCCACTGAATTAATATTAAATCATAATTTTAAAAAAGTATGGCTATTGATATTGAAAATAATTTTTTTTTCGTTTTTTGTTAATTGATTCATTCAATATTCGTTGGTAAAAAAAAAAAAAAGAGAATCGAAACATTTGTATAAATATTTACTTTAATAATCTTAGAATAAACTTTTGATACACTTTGAAAAGGATCAAACTTTTTAACAAAAATAAGTGAAAATAACTATTTGAATGCAATAATTTACTATGTACATCCGATATGAACTAAATCCATATTCATTATTAATGCGCTTGATATTTGACACGTCTGGCTTATATTTTTATGAGCATGCACATTCTTTATACAAATTCAATGAACATAAAACTCTATTGTAGGTGATGAAATATACTCTACTGGAATAAGTACTTACGTTTATCAAACTAGTCAAACAAAAAAAAACAAATCTTTTTGCATGAATTAGTTATCACTTAGTAAGCATTAGTCAGATTAAGATTCATGATTCCACATTATATTCGTTTTGGAATGAGAGTATTAATCGATCAATAGTTGTCGGTAGTTGCCGATAATGTTCTTTCTTTTTGTTTTCATTTCATCTCATGTGTTGTTCATTGAATCAGAGATGAATAGTACTCAACTTGAATGTAACATATCTCTTGATCGATACTTATCTTAGACAATCTATTCACATATGACTAATTTGGAATATTGAGTGACAAGAATTTTGGTCCAGTCCAAAATTCTGATGACTTTTCGACCTAGACTTAAGCTGATCTCATTAACTCTTTCTTTAATTAGTTGGTACATTTCGAAGTGCTGAGCAGGATGCTATAACTATAGTATGATCTAAATTCATACTGTTTAACACTATGTTCTTCTGATGTATGCTACGTCATCTTACTGCTCACTATGCTGCTTTGCTCAGCACTATAGAATGTAGCAACTATAGTTAAAAAAATAAGACCCTTTATAAGGATTAACGAGATAAATTTAAGCCCGAGTAAAAACTCCGACCTTTCGAAATCTTAATCATTATAAGCAGCGAAGTTGTAATCGATCAGGAATTTTTGTACCTGCTCGATCCACCTGGTTCAAAAACTCTTTTAGAACAGTGAAAATCGGCAACAACTGACCAGTTTGCTGAGTCATTTTTAATTGGTTAATAGGAATAGCTTCAAAGAGAACACTCAGGTTTTTACAAGTCTCCATGAAGAAATATCATGTTATAGGCATTTATATTTGTTAGATTTCAAAAATATGAATATGTAATGATTCTCTATGTAGCACGAAAACAAAACGAACTATTAAATCAATAACTTATTGCTAAACTCTAAATCTTGAATTTTTCTACTTAGATTTTGCAGACAAACCGAACCCTTTCTCTTCGAATGCCGGTCCAAACTTAAATTTGATCTCTAAAGAAACGTCGATGAAATAAGTTGAGAAGTTTAGCTTCAGTAGCATAGCTTTGATTATGATTTTTCAAAAAAAATGAAACATACTTCGATTGAGGAAATAAAACAGTGTTGATGAACAGAAGAAAATAAAATTGTTTAATTATTTTGATAAGAACATCACTCAAGCTTGCTATCGATATATTTTATTAGAGAAAAACTGCATATCAATAAAGTTTCTTTCAATCGGTGAAGACGGATCGATCCGGTAACGGCTCTGATAAGCAGTATAGAGCATTACCAGTACACAACAATATAGACGATTAGTAATACTGGAATTCATTGATGTTGATATTGGATAATATTGATATGTTGATACGATTCTGGAAATGAAAGAATTTATCTAGAACCAAGAAGTCAGCCATCGCTGTGTCTAGCCATGTCATATTTTAATATATACCCTCCGTTCGTTAAGCTAAATAATCTGAAACGGATTTGATAATTTCATTAAAACTCGATAGAACGTAAAAGTTTTGATAAGAGTTGGATGCGAAATCGTTCGAGTAGATTTCATCTTATGTCAATAAGAT